TATAAGCCATTAAGCTTCTCTCTGTACTGCCTCTTGGCTGCTGTGATAGCTTTCCTCAGTCAGTACTAACCCTAACCCCAGCTTTGTGCTCCATCTAAACGCCTGATCTGAATACATGAGAGCGAGCACACAGCATGTGGCGTACCTGACTGTTTATCCAGGGCTTCTGGTTGGGGAACCTCCTGACTTGTATGGTGGGCACAATGTTGTCAGAGAGGGAATGGTACAGAGCGCCGAGTATTTGTGCATACCGAAGCACTGGGAGAGGAGTAAAGCAATCTAACCCATGAGATGAATTTATCGCTAAAGCCGAATTGTTGCAGTGAATAAAATAGATAGCTCCACTCCACCCTGTCAAAAGCTTTCTCGGCGTCGAGGGATATAATGACCTCTGGACTATCAGGAGATGAGGGGGTGTTAATAATGTCTAGAAGTCTTCTGATGTTAGAATATGAATGTCTTCCTTTTATGAATCCTGTCTGATCTTCTGAGACGATCAAGGGCACAATATGCTCCATACATCAGGCTAACACTTTTGCAAGTATTTTAACATCTACCGGTAGTAGGGATATTGGACGGTAAGATGTACAATTCAATGGATCTCTACATTTTTTAAAAATTAAAGAAATAGAGGCCTGCCTAAGTGTGGGTGGTAGGATGCCCTGATTGTATGAGTGGTTGAACATTTCGAGTAGTAGTGGAGCTAACTGGTCTGAAAATTTTAATTTTAATTTCTGTAAGTGTAATATCTGTATCAAGTTTAAGGTTGTCTGCAGGTGGACAGGGTGTCTACAGAGTTTAACAAATTAAATTTAAGACTTTTTAAGACTTATATGAAATTTAAGACCAAGCTGCCAATGAAATATATATATATATACACACACATACACACACACAAATCACAAAATCTGGCAGTAACAAATGCAATTTATTACAAAAAGCTTTTCAGACAAAATGCAGAAATCAAATACAACAATTTCAACAGCTGGTTATCTGCAAAGAAGCCAGTGTACAACTCCTAACCAGCACACAATAACAGGTTTCTATTATAAGTCTACTACTACTACTACTACTACTACTACTACTACTACTAACAATGTGAATGAACAGTTTTCATGTGAAATGTGGAACAGAAATTATTATACCATATGACATTATGGCATATGCCTGAGTTCAATGGATTTATTTCCAAGCTCTGTCTCAACCTCTTGTAGTTCTGCTACCTTTTTTTTGAATCGCTTCCTCAGAACATTTGACTTGGTGATTAGCTGGGCCATGAGTGAACCTGATTTACCCTCAGCTTGCTCTGTCAGTTTGTCTGCTTCTTTATCAAGGCTGTTTGCCACCTCAGCTAGTACCATCTTCCTCTTTTTGAGCTGCTCAAGGAGGTCCTCTGCAGCTTTTCTCTTTTCTCTTTGTGCATTGCTCTCCTGCTTTCTCTTTTCCTGATCCAGGTGTAGCCGATACTGAGATCTTGCAGAAGCTACAGCTGCCAGGATCTCCTTCATCAGAGGAACTTTTAGAACCCCCCCACAGGCAGAAACATAGTCACATATCATCCTCTGAGCATCAACTGTGTCCTCCTGCATATTATCAGCCTCTACCTCCTTGTTCACAGAAAAACCCCTCTCCACTGTTGCTTGGCCATGGG